CTCTGTAAATACGATAGGGTTGGCTGGGGGATGGGGAAAAAATAAGAACCAAGATATATCACGTAAAGGTACAAAATCCAAATGATGAATATAACTGTAGTGTGTACCTAAAATGTACCAATAAAGAAAAAATTAAAAAATCCTCAATGTGTTCAATATGTTTAACTCATGCACACACACACACACACACACACATATATAAGCACATACACACACGCCAGCCCACTCTTACATGATACATGGTTATAAAAGATTTTCCCTAAAGATAGAATTGGACAATTCTCAAAAGAAGAAATTCAAATGGACAATAAATGTATAGGAGAAAATTCAATATCTTCAATAGAGAAATGTTAGTGAGGAGGAAGAGAAATAGGAACTCTCACACACAACTGGTGAACATAATTAGTATAGTGACTACACCAAAGTAGTTTGGCAGTACATGGTTATAAAAGATTTTCCCTAAAGATAGAATTGGACAATTCTCAAAAGAAGAAATTCAAATGGACAATAAATGTATAGGAGAAAATTCAATATCTTCAATAGAGAAATGTTAGTGAGGAGGAAGAGAAATAGGAACTCTCACACACAACTGGTGAACATAATTAGTATAGTGACTACACCAAAGTAGTTTGGCAGTCCTCAGAAACTAAAAGTAGAACTGCCTCATGATCCAGCAACCTTACTTGTGGATATATCTCCAAAGGAAACAAAATCACCGTATAAAAAAACCTGCACATCTACCTTTATTGCAGCCCTACTCACAATAGCCAGAATATGGAATCGACCCTAAGTGCCCATAAGCCAATGAATGAATTTCTTAAATGTGGTATACATAGGCAATGGAGTATTATTCAGCCATAAAAATGATGCCATATAACTCGGAGCAAAATGGATGAAACTGGAGCACATTGAGTGTAATATGTCAGACACAGAAAGACAAAAACTGCAAGGTCTCTGTCATAGGCAAATGCTAAAAATATTGATCTGAACGTAGGATATTGTTTACTAGATGTTGGAAAGCCAGAGAAGGGACAGGGAGGCTGCAGAACAGGTACCCAAATACAATCAGATAGGAGGAATAAATTTGGGTGTCCTACAGTGCAGTAGGGAACTACAGTTTCCAATAACTTACTATATATTGTATGAGTAACTGGAAGAGAACAATTGAAGACTTTTAATACAAAGTAATGAGGAGACAGAAACTTTATTGTGTACACCTGATTTCATAGGTATACATGTATTAAAGTATTGTACACATGTATTAAAGTATCACACTGTGCCTTATAAATATGAACAACTGTGTTCTAATCAAAATTTATAAATGTTTAAGGAGATGGCTTGATCATCACACAGCAAAGACATGTATCAAATTTTCACACTGGGCCCCATAAATGTGTACAAATAAAATAAAACATATAAAAAGATTTGCTTTCCAAATATTATTCATAACTTGAGATGACAATCTTGACACTCATTACCTTCATTTGTATGAAGCTTTAGAGTACAGCTATCATCATAATTATGAGGCATTTATTGGGCATATACTAAAAAACAAGAAAGAGAAATATGTGAGCAACTGCAGCTCTGACTGGAAGAGTTTGAACATAATAAACAGAAAGAAAAAAGAGTCCAGAAATACAGACTGAAGGAATTCTAGACCAGAGGATCCGCAGTAAACATTCTTTTATCCCCATCTCTGAATTCCCTGCCTAATGAGTTTTTAAATATCATTTATGAACCAAGATCCAGGTGACTAGTCATATACTTCTCAAAGCATTCCCAGATTCATGTTCATTATCCCCAGATCAGAAATAACTTTTCAAATTTTTCAACTCCCTCAGTAGCATATCTACTTTTCTAGGATAGAATATTTTCTTCCTTGTACCATAATTATTTTTGTATATGTCCTATTTTCAGGGCTAGACTTGAACAGCAACCTCTGAGAGACAGAATCTATGTATCTGTGGATTGGCATGACCTAGCAGAGAGCCTTAAGCACAATAGGAAATAAGCAGGCAGCCTCACCATGACACACAGCACCCAGGATAATTTCTGTCACACAAAGCAAACACATTCAAGCTCCAAACAAAATCATGCTACAGATGAAGTTTGTTTCCGCCTTCAGGATCCTCCATTCAACTTACTTGTCAAAAACACAATGGAGGTGGACCATTCTGAGATCCTGGGGCAGATTTGCGGGCTCTACATAGCTCTTTCTAGCCCATCCTGTTTCCTTTCCCACCCCCCAAAATCACTAGATTGCAAGAAAGGATCTGATTGGCTTACTAACTGAAGTAGTAGCCAGTACAGTTTTCCTCCCAAAAAAGAAACTATTTCCTATGCCAAATATTCTCTAACAGCAGGCAGAGGCCCTAGTGATAGTAGCACAGAAGGGAGTACAGGAAACCCTCGGTATTGGAGTGGGGCAGTGCCTGGTACTCTCTCCAATCAGCTGCTTCACCTCAGCAAGGTTAAGCGCTGCCTCCACTCTTGCTGCTTCCTTCTGCACCTTCCAAACATGCTAAGCCACAAAGCATAGATTCTCTGCAAAACTGGAAGCTGGGTCTCAGAAACGGCCAAATAGAATTTCTTAGTCACAGCACTTCAGAAAATGTGAAATTGGATCTTGATCACTGCGAAGCTGCTGTCATGATTAAGTAGAAAAAAGCAGACAGACATCTGTTCTGCCTGGAAACATGGACAGCATACTAATCCTAAATTCCTGCCTGCTGCGGAACATCACGGTCTGGGTTTGAACAGCCTGGGCAGGTCACAGCCAACCCGGAGGAATGGTGTTCCGCGCTGAAGTACCCAGGGACTGCAGCCTGTGCCCTGCCTGGGCTGAAGGAAAGAGTGAATGGAGCTCTTTCTCCCTCGCTTCCTCTTGCTCTTGCAGACCTGGATCCCAGGAACCAGCCTAGGAGTCAAACCTGCAAGATGAATGTTGTGCTCTTCATTCCCTTAGCTGTCACAATGCCCTCTTCTCTCCTCCAGAACTTTCATGCACCTGTCGAGGCCCAGCTGTGGGCCCTCATCACTCACTTACTAACTGATTCGTTTACCAACAATGAATAATTTGTGCAAAGCACTGTGCTCATTAAAGTGTGGAATAGAAAGTATACTGCAGGCACATCCTTTCTTCAGAGTGCTCACAAGCCTAACAGGAAAGAATAAGTACATTCAAAAATCATTATAATATAAGGAGAAAAACCTGACAGCACCACAAGACAGGTAATACTGGAGGCAATAGTGGACAACATAAAGAATGAGTTCCATTCAAGCATATCAAAGAAGGTTTCATTGAAAAGGCAGCAGGAATGCTGGCACTGGGAGCACTGCCAGCAGGGGAACAGTTATAGGGGAAGAAACAGGGAGAATCGTGTGAAAAACACCAAGTCTGTTCAGTCTGATGAGAAACGGCATGGAAGGGAAGTCACCTAATAGGAGGCTATGAAGGCAGTGTGAGTCCAGATCACAATGTCCCTCCTGGAAAATAATCCAGGAGACAGCAACCGCCCCGACCCTTCTGATGCACTTTTTTTTAATAATGCTTCTGTTTGTTCCTTACCCTGTGTACTCCAAATGGCAGCTATTCTGCCAAATGTGTGTTGAATAATGGACTAATAAGCGACTCACTGTTAAATGTCTCCATATACTATAACTGAGGGAAATAGTGTGATGTTTTAAGTCAAAGCCTAGTTGCTTCCAAGTAATCATTTCTGTTACCTCATGTGTGCAAAATAAATAAAGAGAAATTATGATTTGTGCAAAGCAAGATAACGGTGATGATTCACATGCCATGGACATTCACACGTGTCTGGGTATGTAAGCCATGTGTTACTCATCTCAGAAATTAAATGGCCTCCAACTGAGCTGGAGCAAAGGCCAATGTGCAAGTGGAATTTGGAAAAGCTGCGTTGCCTCTGGCCTCCTGGATGAGCATAGGCCAGAGATGGCGCAGCTGGAAATGGATCTGACAAATCAGGAGATAAAGCAAATGAAGTGTCTGAGAAATTTAGAAGTCTTGAGACTCCAAGTTGAAAATACTCATAGTTATACTGTTCAGCTAAATAATACTAAAATAACAACAATAATAAAAATAACATAACTGCTATTTAGTGAGTACTTACTATATATCAGACATTGTGATAGATGCCTTTTGAATATAATCTCATTTAATTCTGGTAACTACCCCGTGCAGCAGATATTGTTATAGACATTCTGCAGATGAGGAAAACAGCATATAAAAGTGGTGACATTACTTGACCAGAGTTAAATAGCTAGCAAGTGGCAAAACCTGGATTAAAATTCAGGTTCATCCCATTACAAATCTTAACTAGACTACATTTCTAAGTGGAAAGATACCTTAGCAAATGAGATCAGGACAAAGCAAGGCATGATGGTGTGACCTGAAGTCCTCGTACTCTGGGAGGCTGATGCAGGATCTCAGGACCCCAGCCTGAGCAATTAAGCAAGAGTGAGATCCTGCCTTAATGGAAAAAAACAAAAACAAAAAACAAAAAACAGTGAGGGTAGAGCTCAGTATGAAGGCACTAGGTTGGATCATCAGTAGAGGGAGGAAGGAAGCCGGAGAGGAAGAGAGGGAGGGAGGGAGGGAACAAGGGAGGTGGAAGAAAGTGCGGGGGAGAAAGTGGGGGGGGGG